CTTATTTATTTCACTTTAGCACTATACAAATGAATTCAAACAAACAAGAAGAACTGACCATGAGATTAATTCTTGTAACAGGAACACTTCCAAACCACGCTAAAAACAAAAGCAGTTCAGCTTCAGAAGAGAAGAAGAAAAACTAACACAAAAAAAATGAGAACTATATATTAGATAGTTCTGCAGACGTTCAGTCATCAAACCTATTTACATACATATACTAAGAGAAGAGATGAAGCTGTAAGAGCTTTATCGAAACTGCAGTGCCACAGGCAACAACTAAAAACCTAGTTCAGAAGATATCATTATGGAAAGGCAAAGTTAACTGCTTATGAACCTCTTAGTTTAATTGTGTAGTATTTATCTGTTCAAAGATGAGAGTCTACTATGTGGAAATTTTCAGGTTTTAAAAGCTTCACCAAGTTTTTAGAAGATATTTCCACTCCCACACCAGTTCATCAGGCAAATGGAGTTCATCCACAACTCTCCAGTAAAAATTCACTTTAAGCCATGACTGAAAACCAATATTTGAGAAAGTTAAGGAGTAGAAAAAGCAGAAACATATAAAAAGTTGCTATCTTAGAGGGAAGATTTTTATTGCTAGCGTGATGTGCAATATAGCAGACTTATGGCTGTTGAGGGAACCATACATATGAATTTCCCAACTTCTGTGAGTTTAAAATGTGAGTGGTAATGTTTCAATATAGCAGTTAAATGTAGTAAAAAGGATGAGAAAATTAAAAGAAAGGGAAAAAGACCATGGTTATGTATTTATAATGGTGGTAAGGCATTATTCTCCTCTGAGATCACCTTCAAAAACCTGAGGGCAACAGTCTTAACTATAGACAAAGAATGCTAGCTGTAGCTATTACAACAGAGATTAGAAAGAGCTATCATCTCCTTAGAATACCTAAACTTTTACCACCTTCACTCTAGTTGTCTTAACAGTCTGTGCAGTCCACAAGTCTGTGCATCTGATGGATCTTTGAGAAGGAGCATGAATCCCAATGACTAAGATTCAGGAGCCATCATTGTAAAAGAAACTGAGAAGTAATATGAAAAGAAGTAGGAAAACATTACAATCACAATTCTGCAAAAACACATTACTGAGTAATGTCAGTCTATCACAGTACCAATCTGAAGCCGACAGGCATGCAGAGCCACCAATGCATCTTAGTATTTCAGATTCCTTCTCAACTCTGGGAGCAGCTGAGCTTCTGTAACTCACAGGTCTTTTCAAGAGTCTCATGAATACATAAATCTTCTGCTCAGACATTATAAACCTCCTCCTGAACAGTTCTGAGAGCGACCCCTAAAGATACTAAGCTACAAAATGTGTGCCAAAAAATGAGAAACAAAAGGACATCTACCACTTGAGACTTTTTACAAGCAGATAGAGGAAAAAAAATATGTATCTATTTCCTAACAACCTGGCCCAGAAGAGAGACCCAAAAAAAAAAAAAAAAAGAAATTTCTCTGCCTTTTTTCCCCCCATTTGTTATGCCAACTCTTCCTTGACTGATAAGACCTTAAAATTTTCGTCACACCAGCCTCTAAATGCCATCCTAATGTAAATGACATGTGCCAGTAACAAGAAAAACAACTGCTTTATGCCTATAGAATGTACTAGCAAAACAAGCATTTTTTTCACCAGGTACTTAGAATTTATTATCTGCAGCTGCACTGGAGGCTCCAGATGAAAGGAAATGGCAGTTATAATGCAACCTTTACAAAAACGTTTCTTATGGGTAACGAAATTCTTCAGATATAGCACTTCTATGTGCATTCATGTTGGTGGTGGTGTACAGCAGGCAATTGTGTCTCAATACTTTTGCCTTGACAATAGCTAGAGGTGCCTGTTTGTCCCACCTCACACGCTCCATGCACAAACAAGGCAGCATCTGCTATTACAATCTCAAGCTCTTCCTCAGGCAGATTCCCCTATAGACACAGGAACTAACAGAACACAGAGCAATGTGGTAAATTTCTCAGAGAGCTCCAGCTGGGAACCAACCCTCTTATCATTTAAAGTGCTCCACACAGCCACAATATGGACAATTCCCAGCAGTACTTCATCCTACACGCACACGCAGGGCCATATATGAAGACCTAGAAGACAAACTACAGTACTTTTTTCCTCCACAAAAATCTTTTCGCCTCCAGAGCTGCACACTGCTCAGCAAGAGGTCTGAGCTGCAGGAGGCCGAGCAGCAAAGGCATCAGCAAGGCATGAACAAGGCATTCTTTAAGCAAGGCCACCAGAGCAAGATGCACTCTTATCACGGGCACTGTCATGCAGTTGGTCCATGTCACTGGTCTCACCACATACATCACAGCAACCAATTACCCTATGGGAGTCTCTTGGTACAGACAATTATGGCCTTCAATTTTCAGAAAAAAAAACAATGAGCTAAAAGAAATCACAAGAGATCTGTCTTTTTTGCAGCTGAATGTACAAAATACCTCTGATATCCAGCATAAACCCTGTTTCATAACTGCAACAGCATGAAATCTAAAAAGGAAAACCAGACTAAGCCATTTCCTGACTCAGAATCCTTTATAAGACTTGTCTAGAGTCAAAGTTCATGAGGACAGTTTGAATCATTCTCACCCCTCATCCCAAGACCACTGTAATCACAAGCTACATAAGCTGAAGAGACACTACACCACACTGCTACAGACATGTTTTCTACGAATTAAAACATTGGGGTTTATACTTCTGTAATGTTCTCCTTTTGTTCAGAAGTTTATTAATTACGGTAAGTACTTGCAACTTATTAATATTATGTGGGAATTAAATAGTTCCGCTAAGTTGTATCATAACCTTGTTCAATCATTTAAGGCAAATTATGTCTACATACTGTGTTCTGCAGAGAAGTAAACTAGATAGCACATTCATTTAAACTGGCTTTCATAACAACAACTACGTGTCTACAGGATGCCAGTAATTCTACTCATACTAATAACCCATTTAAAAAATAAATGCTAGAACTAAAAGGCCAAATAAACTCAGATAAAATGACCAAGAACCTCAATTCTCTTTGATTCACATGGATTCATTTTGATTCACATGAAACAGGAATTGCCAGAAACTGAACCTATTCGGACTGGGGGGTGGAAATTCATCCCATTTAAAAAAAAAAAAAAAAAAAGAAAAGAAAATGTTACTTTGTACAACTTATGTCTATTTCATTAGCATATTATTCTCATTAGTAGATATTGTCATCAATACATATTTAATTCTATTACATAAATAAAATAGAGTTTTAGGGAGTGTATTTAGCAATACTATGTGAGTAATCAGTTTTGTAACAGGGAAACAGTTTTAAAAAAAGTTAGATCAAATATACAGTATATTTCTATAAGCATAGGGGATTTGTGTCTATAGGATTTGCTCTCATCCCCATTTTGTAGCTGTCCAAAGACAAACATTTCAAAGACATACAGTATCATCTGTTCTGCAACCTGTAGGGCAAAGAAAAAAAAAGAATCCTAGCACTGGAAAGTTCTCTCTGCCACAGGAATAAAGACTCGAACTATATACTTCCATTTTTCAACAGCAGACAAAACTAAGTTCTTAACCCATAACTTCACATCTTTACTACTACATCACTGGTGAAATGTTTTATTTTAACTGTCATTTTGCCTCTTGGCACATAAGTCAGTTTCTTAAACAAAACAGCCAACCACAACAACAAAATAAAAACACAAAACCAAGAACAACCAACCCTTCAGAAAGAAGGGGAACCTGTTTATGAACAGCAACAAAATGTCATAACCACATTTAAGAAGACCCTTCTTCCCTCCCTCTCACATTATAAATCTTATCAAAACAAAAGAGGAAAATTGGAATAGATTTTACCAATTTTATAAACATTGCAATAATTTCTCTTCACAGTCCTAACTGTTACCTTAAAGAAAAGGATAAAACAAATGTTTTCACACCACAACTGAATAATTAAATGTGTTCCAAGTACTACCACCACAGTAAGAAGGTCACTGATAAGTATTATATATCATGAAATAAAGACTAACTTCTGCTCAGAAAGGACAAAAATGATAAGTATTATAAGCTAGGAAAAATGTCAGGGGAGTAACTTGATGAATTAAAAACCCCTCTTCTACATGGAGAATTATCCAAATGGGACTGTTAAAACTTTGAAGTGAAAGACTTAACTATAATGCTGGAAGACTTAAAAAAAACAAACAAAAAAAATTCCATTAGCTACTCCAAAAACTATCCCTCTGAAGTAAGGCTTCAAAGTCCTATTGTAAAATATTAAATAATGAAATCTCCCCAATTCTTTATGGGCACAGAACAATATGCTTTAAAACTAATTTCATAATTGAAGTGTTTGAAAGAAATACTCTAGAAGCAAAAAATTCTTTTAATTAATATGCGGAACATTATTATGATGTTCAAGGAAGACTCATACAAAAATGCATATGAAATTGGCAGTAAACTAACATTTTATGCTGAAATGAAAGAGTAGGAAAGTCTGGATTTAAAGCTTTTCATAATTTTACCTTAGCAAGTTGCGTCAGAATCAGTAACAAGAAGATTAACGATTCTGAAGTTACTGATGACTGCTTAAGTGTTAAATTACATTTCAAAACAAATCCAGAAAAACGTAATTGCTTCTACGGTGCTAAACACTTGTATCATTAATTTCCTAACACTGGCTGTTATTACAAACCAATTACAGACTTGTACTTACACCTGTGAAAATTTGGGCACTTTTAGGTTGGAAAAGGCCACACGTCCTCTTATGTGTAATGGAGGCAAGAACATTTACAGTCCCTACTTTCCTGATAATAACCCAGAGAGACCAAAAAGCTTCCATTAATGGCACAAAGTAAGGCAGAAAAGGAAGACCGGTCATGTACAGTCAAAGCTGCTCCTTGATTCCAGGAAACAGCAGATTGCCATATATGGAAACTCATTTAAGTATTAACTCAAAAATCTTTTTTTTACTTAATATCTGTTGATGCATCCTTACCAGGCTTCAGGCAACAAGAAAGCATATTCATGTGGTGAAGTAGTCTCTGGAAAATTGGAGAGAATTGCCTGTCTGTGCGGAAGTAAAGCTGATCCATGGAAAGTGAACAAAATTTCCAGGGCTCTGACATTGCTTTCCTAAAAAGCAAAACATTAAGTTGCAGAAATAGCTTAAGACTGCTTTAGACTGAAAATGAGCAAGAAATGTAAGCTTAGATCATGCAACAAACATTTAATTTTAAAATTTTCTTTAGTAATAATGAAATTGGCTCAGGATCACTGCATTTATTTATTTACAATCAAACAAATACACCTCCCACCTCTGAAATACCCACTGAGATTCAACCAAGTTCAAAGGGGGGAAAAAAATGCACTTAAATGAAAACAGGAATTTTGCTTTTGTATTGCATTCTAGCGAAATAAATATTAATACCCGAGCATAAGTTCTTGCTGAAAGTACAATATTCTGATTCCTGAACTTCTTGAAGAAGTCGCCATCATAGTGCTGTTCAGCTGCATGAGGCCCTCCCAGGATTTCCTTAACAAAAAAAAACAAACAAACAAAAACCTTATAAAAGATTGGGGTTTATGCAAGATTTACAAAAGCATCAAAAACCTACAGATTTCTTTATCTTAGGATGAATAAGTATGAGACATATGTGGAAAAGCATGCTGTGGTTTTTCGTTTGTTTCAGTATAAAAAAACAGATACATTTTTGATTTATAAGCTAAGACAATTCTCTGCCTTATTTTAATTAGGATTTAGACAACATTAGTTACGAAGATATGTGGTAAAAGTCATTACATGACTAGTGCCAACTGCAAAGTTAAAGCTACAAAACTAAGCAGAACACAGCCTAACACTCCAAAAACTTTCACTTCAGTAAGCTCAAGGAAGAAAAAGATCTGTTAGAGAATCTGAATGAAACTCGCTAATTAGACTGACAGAGGGAAATAATAGTAATCCTGCACCAACTCCACATCCCATGTTGTTGCATAACTTAATTCTCTGCAGACACAGTACGTTCAAAGGAGGCTTCTGTCCAACTATACCTCTTCAACAACAGAAGCTGGCCATTTGCAACAGTGAAGCAGGAGGAACACAGGATCTTGAACAGAAAACAGCTTACTTTTCTCCAGTGAGAGATTGTAGCATTTCAAGAAGACTATAAACATTAATACTACAATATATAACAAAAACCAGATGATGACGTGATGAAAAAGTTACAGGAATACCTATGGAATGGTAACTCAAAAGAACTGTAGCCAGTTACCAAGTGTCCTCACCTCATAGGTTTCAAGGCGATCAAGGTAAGTTAACAGCTTCAGCCTGCTACGGCAGAGTTCTTTTTGTTCCAGTGTCAGCCTGTGTTCAAAACAGGAATTTTCATGCTTGCAATTGATATTGTACATCATGTGCATATGAAGATAATGGTTACACATTTTAATGACTTTTTGCACTGGAATCTATCAAGAAATTAATTAAACCGAGAACCCTGACACAATATAATGCCAATTAAAATTTAAACCACTTTCCTATTAGGAATAACACACATGAGAATAATTACGTTCTTGCAACTGTGTAGTTATAATAAACCTATAATTCTGAATAAAACATGGCCTAATATTTCATTTACTTTGAGAAGTTTACTGATAATAGCAGTTCTTGACGCTTATTGGCCTCTTTTTCCTTTTTAGTATCCATTCCTTCATCTGGTGACAAAAAGTCTTCATAGGGAATTTCAATGTCCACCTCGCCAGGTAAGATAAATCTGGAAGACAAAACCAACAAGGTAATCAATGTTGATAAAAAAAACCCCAACAACAAAAGGATACAACAAACTAATTTTTGAATAAACATACTAACACAGCTTTCTGTTTATGTTGTGACTAAAAATCTAAACTTTTATAGAAAATTATAATACTGAGTTTTGTTGTTGTAAAGCAGCAGGCACTCATCACAAGTCAACAAGAGGTAGAATCTCTTGTTTCCACCCCCTCCCTAAAACAAACCAAAAAAAACAAACTACCAACCACACGGCTATGATGGTTGGTAAAAGTTTCTAAATTCCACAGGTAGCACTGGGATTTGCAGCAGCTCTACAGCATACAATGGTAATAGATGACTGCACGAAGAAAGAACAGCCTGTTCTATTTCTACCACCAGGAACTGAATACTGAAGAGAATTGTTTCTGCGTGTATTTCCCCACTGACCCACTGTGTTTTGCTTTGTTCCCCTCCCCACTTGAACAACAGAAGATCATTACAACAATGAAGACCTACAACAAAACGCATTTATAGGGGTAGCTGCAGCTTCCAGAAGACGCAACAGAAACAGATTCTCATAGAAAAATAGTGACATCAGAAGTGCTCTATGATGAAGAAACAAAGGACATCCAGAGAAGAAGGAAAACGCAGTACAAAATAAACAGTGAATTTACCTTTGTAAAAGGTAAAATGAGAATAGGTACCTTGTGAACATCTTCAGAATAGTTTGATTCAAAGCATTACCTTTCTTTATGTCCTGCAAAAGCATCTTAACATTTTAATTAGTGGTTGATAAAAAAGTTTTATCAAATTATTAGAAAAGACTTCATACACCATTCTTTAAAAAGAAAACAAACAAAAAAATACTCTTCCCAAACCTGCCACCATCTTCTCCTTTTCCTATGGCCACAAGAGCCTCCAAGTCTGTGCCTTTCAAGCCATACTGAAGCAGCTTCTTCGCAGCATCCACATTCTCTGGAACTCTTTCCAAGCACTCGTGAAGAACCCATGCGCGCTTCTTAATTTTGCTCTGTCCAAGAACAAGAGCACAGACAAAAAGTTACATGCTTCAACTGAAAGCAATGAAACTGAAGATGTTAAAATCTTCTAATGTGTTTCTTCCACTTAAGAAAATGTCAGCTTAACCTGATGACTGACAATGTGAACCAACAAAAAAAGAAAGAGGTGAGAATGCAAAAAACATAGTGCCCTCAGAGTATATGTGGCAGAAAAGGGCACAGAAATGCCAAATGATTTAGCAGAACTTTCACAACTGGAACAGAAGTTATTATTTGTGTTCCCTAATCAGCATCACTCCTCCTTACACTAAATAAAATGTGATGGATTTGGGCTAAAATGCATTTGTTATAAACCAAGTGTATCCAACAATTGCAGTAGAGTCCATTTACAGTATCAACCTCTTCATGTGCCAATAGGATTCTGTGACAGGAAGGACACATCAGGGTCACAAAATATTATTGGCCTTACTTGCTGATCTTCAGTTGAGATTACATAGCACATGAAGAATGGCTACTCGTAAAAATCTTATTTTGACATTCAAATAATAACTGACTTGAAAAAACAAAAATTAGATTTTATTTCTCTTGATCTCTTGGAAGACTTTACCCTTTAGCACCATTAGGTTGTGCATCTTTGACAACGCTTGTCTGCAGAGTTTGTAGTCTTTCTCCCAAGCCAAAAAAAACCCACACTGGATTCTACTGAAAAGCTCCAGTCACAGGTAGCAGAGTTCACTGTAAATGTTGTTATTCAAACTTGGCTATATAGCTACTGATACCAACTTCACCTTCCCATTTAATTTTCTAAAATACTTCGAAGGTATTTAAATGCTTTATATTTCCAATTATTATTATTCGTTTGCCAGGCAACAATCTACTGCTGCATGTGGGGGAGAGATTACACCAGAGAAAGCAAGCTATTAACAGACTTCAGAAGATACCTGAACGGAAAGATTTCCATTAACTTCCAAGGTCTCCGGATCAGGCCTTCAGCTAAATTAACAAGATCACTCTCTTCCACATGACATGAAATGGAATTTGCAAGACAGCTCTCCAAATTGCCACCAATTTATGTTGTATAAATTAGAACACAATTGAGAATCCAATTTCTGGAAAGATAATGCAGCCATTCTGATAACAAAGCCTAAAAGTCACAAAAAACAAACCCACCAAGTAGTCTTGAATCGAAGCAACGTTAACAGCTGACTTCCTCCACTGTCTTTGATACACAAGATCAGAATCAAGGCCATATGCTTGAGCCAAAGACAAAGCTTCCCCATATTCTTCATTATCAATCTAAAAAGCAAACATACGAAAATGAAAGTCATCTGACTTCCATATTAAACAATCAATTATTAATTCTGTGTGTTGAAACAGGTAAAGGAATAATTACTGTGCTATAATTATGCTTAAGCAGGTAGGAAAGAAAATGGCTCAAGATACAGATGAGTAAGACTCCAATCTGATGGACACCTCCAGAAAATCAGATATTTTTCCTCAAAAAAAGGAAGAAGTTATTTAGGTAACCCTTATGACATCATCAGTCCCTGGAAACTCTTAACAGCTGTAGAGTGGGCTGGTTTACCATGAAAACAATTGAAGTGGCTGAGACAAAGTACTGCCTAGAGTAGTCATAAAAATGAAGAAGTATCTGTTCGTTACACTTACTGTAAGAGTAAGTCACAGGCCTCACAGGCCTAATTTGTATATACGCCTGAAAAGACACACAAATAAACTACATAAGCCATTCCCTGGCCAATAACAAGCTCAACTGATTTCATTCAATGTATTTGCTAGGTCTTTCATTACTTGTTAACATTCACATAAGCACACTTCCAAGTCTGGCCAAGCACAGTGACTCCTCAGTGACCCGCAAATATCATCTCATTTGAATTATTATAATGCTAGTTTTAAACAATGATCCCTTCAATTAGGTAACACAGTAGTACACTGTCAACTAAGAGACCCTTAGTAGTATGTGCCTAAATCCTTCTGTTAATATAGCAAGAATTAAAATAAAAAGTTCTTTCTAAATAAAGCTGATTATGAGATATGACCTTTCTTTCTATACTTACTTTTCTCTGGTACAGTTCCTCTGGAGTTGTGGATCTCAAACTGACAAGGCGGAAATTCTTTGTAATAGTACGTGGACGTTTCCGTGGCGGAGCAAATCGTTCCATTTCTGTCACAAAGTACAGGCCTTGCTTTAGGTAGCTGAAGTATCTGTCCTTAGCAGAAGTTTCATCATCTGAGTCAGAGTCATCTTCTCCCTCATCTTCATCACCAGGCCTGCTCTCCAAGCGTAATCTTTTTGGAACAAGTTTTATCTCACACTGCACAGAAAACAATTCTTAAGGGTAGAATATGAAGCGTCCACCTAATACATCTCAACTAGCTTGGTAAGAATTGAGTACATCTTCACTTCCAGTACTTCAAATTGCACAATCGACATCCTTCCTCCCCTTCTCCTTTAAACCCTTTCTTTCTCTGCTTGCTTAATATATTCCACAAACGATGACTGTGTCTGTCTCCTGGATCTGAGGCTTCATCCCTTACCTACTGAATCAAGGGTGAAGGCTTCTTAACAGTAACCCACTGTTACACTAAATGTCCTACACCACCCTGGACAACACAGAACTACAGAAACATCTCAGTACGCTGTTATATAGCTTAGTGCAGCGTACAGCAATGTTTTCAATTCTTAGATGTCCAAAGCAAGGTTTTCTGTATGCCAGTCACTGGCTAGATCCAATTTCCAGAATAATAGAAATCATTCCAAAAACATACATGCAAGCTTTAGCATGCATTCAGATATTCTAATAAATATTATTTTAAACTTTTGTTTAAGATATTTAAGATGTATTTCAGTGTAAGCCTTAGGAAATAGTCATTTCCTTTGTTTCAGAGAAAATTCCTGGTTAACTTCTTAACCAAAATTATGTTCTACTCCTTCCTGGAATCCTACTAAAGATGAATAAAAAAAGATCTCTCACATGGCTTGGTCTTAATTTAAATGCATTCCTCATTTCTCTTAAATATATTCCCTCTGTAAGAGGCATCTGTTTCAAAATGGGAGAAGAGTGCTTGCAGTATTCTTCAAATGCACTAACATACAAACTGTCGACACAAACAGTTTCCTACAGCATGATTCCTCACATTAAGGCTCAGCCTTCTAGGAGTTCTGCATCTACTGTCTAGAAATTATTTGACAAGTAAGCTTTTATTAAGACAGCTGAATTGCAGAAAGTTCAGAATTTTCCTGCAATACCTACCTAGAGATAAGGAAACAGAATCACTTTTCCGATTAGTAATAATAATTCATGGTTTTTTAAACCTTATCACACATACGTAACCCTTTAGGATCACATATAGAAAAACAAACTCTTTGTACTGCATTCCAAAAAGATATCTGCCTATGCACATTCCTCACCTCCAGACTTAGAAATCCTCCATCATGAGCTGAAGTGACCTGAGGAGAACTCTCAAACCATTCACATGACTTTCCCAGCAAGTTTCTTAACGTCTTAACGGATGACACAGTCAATGCACCAGAGCAGCGAGCCAGGATGACAGAATTATCTGCCCACCAATTTACATCTATCAATGGGTAATAGGATTCTTGATCTAAAATAAATAAATAAGAAAGCGCCATACAAAGAAAGATAACTTCAAACAGCAGGCAAGAACAGAAGTGACTTCAGACTTCAATTATTAAGAGATTTCATCTGATGGCCCACTTTAACATTTATTATTGTATATGCATCCTTGGTTCATTCAGTTTGTATTTTAGATCAATTCTATTTTACTGAATCAGTTCTGCATTAACTAAAGCTGTTGAGGAAGAAAACATTTAATTTTGGACTTTTTTTTTTTTTTAATACTATTTGGTAAAAGAATTCAAGCAAACAGATTTGTTTGCACAAAACGTGACAAATTTTAGGTATTTGATAAAGATCTGCTTCAATACTTGCCAGGCCATCCTTAAGCAAGTCTCCCTGGCTACAAACATAATACTGATGAAAATCAGAAAAGATTACACTGCTTTTGAGGACAGGTGACAACCATGAACAAGGCTTCTGAAATGGCCTAGAAGATGAAGTTGTTAAGAATATTAAACAAACAAACAAAGAAACAAAAACCAGTCACCACAACTAGAGATGGAAGCAGTGTTATTTGCAAGATTATTTTGATTATGGTAACTGCATGTTGGGACAAAATGTTCACCAGAGAGTTACCTCAATTTGTTCACTACATTGTCATTTCCCACCTCTGATGAAAACCACCTTTCCCCAAACAGCACTGAGAAAGGGATCAGCTTATCACTTTTCTGCTACTTCAGTGCTTAGTCAGCACCTATGAAGGTCAAATGCATTAACCCAAAGAAAGATTCAGCAAGAAAAATAGTACAAAGAAACAGGGATTTTATTTTTTTTTTTTTTAAATAATATAGAGGTATACAAGCAGTAGTGAATGGATCATGGAACAGCTATTGATCTCTGCAATAGCCAGGTGATAAATGGCTGCACATTGGTGGCCTGAGTTTTGGAAAAAGAACAGAGAGACTGACATGAGGCAAAACCAGTCAGAGGAAACAAAGAGTTCAGAATTTTAAACTAATCTCTTTAAAGTACATTAGCTTTCAATATTTATTAGACATTCATAGAAAGAAAGGTTCAGGTTTTTAGACTGTGGACTCTAATAATGTGTTACCTATGATATTATGATGTAGTAGCTTCTGATACAAGCTGAGACATCTGCTGAATATTCAGCATTCCACAGAGTCATAATTGCATGATTAATAATAAATGAAGTCCTGTACTAACTGAAATATCCTCTTATTTACGGTTAGGGCTACAAAAGAATTCCTGAGAGGTTTGGGGTGGGTTTTTTTTTAGGAAAAAAAAAAAAACCCAAAACACCCAAACACACTATTGTGACACTCATTTAGCTACACCATGCTACAAATTCAAATCATACATACAATTTTGGCAACTATTCTAATTGAGATTTAATTAAGCCATTTCAGGTCTTTGTATATTTGTTTAAATACTTTTAACTACAGAGTGGTATAAAATAATGATCTAACTGAACCACATACCTTTTATTTTCTTTCTTTTTTCACTAGAGAGTTTCCAGTCTGGGTTGATTTCATCATAACCTGGCTAAAAAAAAAAAGGCAAGAGGGAAAAAAAGATTATATGCAAGTAAGTCTTCATAACACAGACAATCTCTGCATTTACTCTATTGCTGATCCACTCATTTTTCAGTGAAAATGCTCCCACATAAATTCAAACTTTTCCTGAACATAACACATACAGTTGCTCTAGTGACATCGTACTCTTCTCTAAACAGTTAAATTAAAACAAAAACATAGCAAAATAGACTGCTGGATTCCTAAAACACCGTATTAGAAATCAAGAATACCATGAGACCTGGCCTAGGCAGCATTAAATATATTTTGGAAATAAAGGCTGTCCAGCACTCAGAATCCCACCAAACATTTGTTTTTCATGTCTATACATAGGACTGCAAGCATATAAAAGAAGAATCTCCAAAACAGTCCTCCTGTTTGCTCTGTGTAGTGCTCCTGAATACCAGCCTAGTACAGTGCTATATGTATTAACTCTGGTTATTTTCATAAACATAAGGCCCCTTTCAAGACTAGTGCAGTGAGGGAACCAGCACCATTTAATGATGCACTGCAGCATTTGGAATTTGTAAGCTGTTGCTGAGTTGTTTTTTTAAACTTTGTTTGGTAACATTAGAATACACAGGAACTGCACAAACATAGATGACAGTAATCCTACCCATAGCTGCAGGTAGATTACGCAGCTCAGACAACCAAAGCAGTTTCGGGTCAAACAAAAGGTGATTTTTCAGGCTGAATTTTTTTTAATAGAAAGAGAAGAGTCTACTAATTAAAAGTAAACATGAGGCCACTTCAACTTAATTTAACAAATATGTTTGTGTGACAATTAGGTAGGAATCGCACACATTATGAAAATACCCATTATACTTGGACATCAATTTCACCTATAAAAATTGTTCTGAAAACAGTCAAGTACTGTAACATTCCTTTATATCACCCTCACTAGATGATAAAGTCCTGAAAACTGCTTCAGAATAGATATTACCATTAAAAACAAAGAAAAAATAAAACAATTCACTGTAAACATCAAGCAAAATCTGTATTCTCACAAAAACTTGAAACGTATGTTAAAGATTTAGAGATCTATATGGAGAGAGATCTAGATATAGACACACACCACTTTTGCCAATACTGGAGCTGGACTTTTTGTTTGGTTGGTTTTTGAAAGTACTTTCCTAAATAAGCTTGGAACTACATTTCTGTGATGGCTTGACCCCAGCTGGCAGCTAAGTACCACACAGCCACTTGCTGATTCCCCTTTCTAGTGGGACAGAGGAGAACGTAGGAAGAACAAAAGCAAGAACAACCATAGTTTAATAAGCAAAGGAAAGCCAAATAAAAAAGAAAAACAAGTGATGCAAGGGCAATCATTCACCACGTCCCACAAGCAGACTGATGCCCACCCAGTCTCTGTGCCATGCCTACCTACCCAAAATCTCTCCCTGCTTCGCTTTTATTGCTGAGCATGACATTATATGGCACGGAAAATCACTTCGGTCAGCTGTCCAGGCTGTGTCCCCTTCCAGGTTGTTGTGCACCCCTGAACTACTCATTGGGACAGTGAGAAACAGAGAAGGCCTTGAACCTGCGAAAGCACTGTGGAGCAATAGCTAAACCACTGAGGTGTCATCAACACTGTTTTGGTCACAAATCCAAAAGCTAGCGCCATACGGGCTGCTCTGAAGAAAGTGAACTCCATCCCTGCCAGACCCTGTACAATTTCACAGTCAATACAGCCTAACCAGATCTGACTACTTGCCTGTAAGAACCAAAACTTACACTAAACAACACAGCCACGTCTCCAAGTCTTGCAGTCAGAACAAAAACATAACAGTACACCAGTGGTGCTCAGGACGGCAACATACCATTATCTCTACAGGTATTTGTTGACTTGTCCTTCCTACAGTCAAAGTTTTTGGCCTATCTTTTCCTGTAATTTTTCCGGAAAACATTCATTTAACCTCATTGTCGTCATGATACCCAAAGGAAGATGTCTGCCTTCATTTTGTCCTCTTCCTCATTATAGAGACGTGTGCCTACATGTAATGTCAGGAAGCGTTTTACTGTGGACCTTACGCTGCCTACCGTGCACCTTACGCTGCCTACTGTGCAATGTGCAAACTGAGGAGCAATTCAATACAGTGGAGGGGAAAAGCTGTCTGTGTTTCATATGAATACATAAACTTGAAGAATTTAAAACATTCTACAAAAACTGGAAAAAATATTTTTGTCTTGGAATTTCTAAAGGAATCAATACACTGTACAAAGGTTTACCATGCAAAACAAAGTTGCAGATAAGAGTCAGAAGCTGCAAATTTTTCATGATAACATATGAATTTATTAATCAGCACATGTACTAAAACATAACTGTTTACTACTAAGCAGCAAATGTTTCAGCCTACAATAATTTTCTAATAAGAAACACACTTACGTACAATAAAAACATCTGAGATCAATACTGTGCAGGAGATATTGGTGGTAATTAGTGCCATCTATGTCTAGTGACCAAAGATCCTGTTTCACTGGTTACCCTGTTTGGACATGATGTCAGTTCATGTCTTGCAAGTTTAGAGCATAACACATGGTACTTCAAGCGAAAAGCCTTTCCATACCTATTAGTCAATAAATTAATAGGAGTAAAACCAGAATACTTTGCATACTAGCGTGCATCATTTCAGACTTGTCACTTTTGAAAATGCAGATATATTTTCCTCATTAAAATAAAGTGTCATCTTTACCCAGAGACTGTATTAGTTATTTGGAATTTTCTTTGAAAACTAATTAGTTTTCAATTCCCAGTGTTCAAATTCACACTAGTCATGTAAAAGTTTGCCAGTGTCTGGGCAATTCCTAACTTGAGTTCCCCTATTGCATTTTGCAAACAATTCCTGTAGAAAGCATGTGACTTACTAATACCAATCTGATGAACAAACTATTCTGGAGTGTTATCTGGCAGAAGGTAAGGTAAATTTTGAGGGAGAAATAGAAGAGCGCATTAGACATCCAGGAGAATTTCAGTTCAACCATTCAAACAAATTTACCTGTATTTGCCTCCACTTACATTTTAAAAATAGCGTTTCAGTCTATCTCTACCAGCGTTACCCACTTGGCACCAAAATGCCTCATGAACAATTCCAACACAACTGGTTCTTTTTCTTAATTTTTAAAGTTTAAGGGTTAAAACATAGTAAGACTATTATAAAAGTAAACATAAGGCTCTTGAAAAATACGGAGTTGACTGGAGAAACAGTATGTAGCTAAAGCAGAGTTATCTGAACTACTCTCATCTCCTAGGAAAGCGTTGTCTCCAGAGGATTAAAACATATACTGCAAATTTCTAAACATCTATATCCTTCTTACCTGATCAGTTTGGTCCCATTCTCCTTGTTGTCTGAGAGATGGAATAGACCAGATTGTCAGTTTTCCTGAGAAATGAATAGCTGCCAGAAGAGCTCCATCAGGAGAAAGATTCATCTTGAAAACTCCATCCTGCCAAACATTATGTCAGCCAAGTAAAAAACAAACAAGAAAATCCCCACACACATCAAGGCATACCAAAAAGACCTCCCAAAAAGGCCCAAGCTATTTTTTCTATTTTAAGGAAAATAAATTGTACAATCTTCCATCCAGAAAATGTAACCTGCTTTTTTTTTTTTTTTTAAAAAGCAAAACAAATAAACAAAAAAAACCCCCAAAACCCACCACTATGCTAAAAGTCAGAATAAAGGTAAAATATCAATTATGGCATGGAAGGGTAAAAGTAATATGTATAAAAAACACTACCATAACATGAACAAATCATTAGGAATGTCAACTTCTGTATCACACTGTCATACAGTAAATAAAATCTGAAAGTGTGGCATTCCTAGGTGAATGGCACAGGCAGCAATGCAGAGCTACTTGGAGGAAAAACTGCAGGTTGTTCTCAAATCATGTGTTCAGAGAAAACATCCAGAAACCTCAGCTTTCTACTGTCCTGCCTCCCAGGTCCACCCAAAGAAGATTGCTACTCAAACATAGCTTAGTACAGCTCTTCCTCCCTGGGAGCAAACTTTTGGGTGAGCATTATTACAATTAGGAAAAAAAGTGGGGGGCAGGAATACAAGAGGTACGTAGATGAAGAGATCTTGGAGGAGCACATTGTTCATTTCAGGACACTGAATCTGAACTTAAGAATCTCTTGGGTAACAATAGACTAAGCAGCAACATAGCAAACATCAGATTAAGTCTACAGAGATGAAATAATTCAACATCTGTAAGTAAACTTCATCAAGGCTACAAAAATTCTCCTGGATTAAGTTTTCCTTCAGCTCTGGATATCTGAAGAGGCAATATGTACTTCAAACAAAATATTTCCTTAAGGATTCATGAAATCCCATGCAATTACAACTCGATCTATATGCTATTTCCATGAGACAAGAGCCTCTAAATATACACTCAGATTTTAAAGTCAAACTTAGTGCCACTGGCAATGCACAACGATTTCTAAAAAAAAACAATTTATATTTATTCCCCCTGCCCCCAACACAACTTCCACATTTTCAGAAAGATCATTAGGTTCTCAGAGTCTAGTCTTCACTGAAAGACAGCAGAATGTAGATTCCCAAAATTTATATTGTTTATAAAATCCCATTTTGTTAGTGCCATTCACTGTTAAAAACTTCCTAATAAAGATTCATACTACAATAAAGTTAGAACTGTCCAAGTCTGCAGCTAATCAATTTTTAAGCCAGTGCCTCCCCCCTTGGGAAACACCCCAACATAAATGAACATGAATGAACATTTACTAGACATCCATACAACTGAGAAGCTTTAATGAAGTTTCTACAGCATATTAGTGGTAGGTATCATTTGAAGGTAACAATATTCTTTTAGGGTTGGTTTGCTTGTTTGGGTTTTTTATTATTTTTATTTTATTTCTTAGGCTGTTTTAAGTTCTATCTATGCCACAGAAAGAACGATGATCAAGTAATCTGCTCACTGTTGTACAGTGGTTTGCAGCTATTGAGAGCACTCCTTACATCCAAGCTTAAAATGTGTTTTTAATTGAACAAGAGAGCAATATTAAGGTTTCTGTAAACTAATTATTAATTTTTCTAATATAAGTAATTCTTAAGTATTCTCTGATTATATTCTTAAGCACCTATAGTACTGCAATCTCTACTATAGTTCGCCAAGGAATTTTACATGCCTGCTAATGGCAATTCTCGCTTTACAAATCAATTTCCATGCACAGAGAACAAAGAACAAAAGATTGTAAAAGCACTTAGAAATGTATAGCTAAAACACATAACCCATTAAGATAAATGGTCAGTGGTATACATCACAGATCTTAAGAAGCACTAAACATTTACTCAGTAGCCAGTAATAATTCTGTTGCTGTTAAATTTAGATGTTGGGTGGCCATTAACACATTTAAATTTACCACCCGAGCATTATCTACAGAGATTAATCAGTCCTTTTGCAAAGCAAGCAATGCTGCCTCAGTAAACAGCTTGTCAACTTAACGGAACTGCAGAAAAAGATACTGAAAACCTCAGCAGGTTGGCACTTCACATTTTATAAGTATCATTTAAGTTAGCAACACTAAGAATCAATTCCCAGTATAGCTAGTTCTAATATACAAGTCCTCTAGCTGCTGTGTCTGTCATACCTTAACACTGTTGCCAATCTCCCACTAAGAATATAAATTATACCTCACATATTTAAACCATAATCTCTGAAATACAATTCAAACATTCAAGGATGAATAATAATCTCTGCTTTTCTTTGTAAACTTAGTACTGACAAGTGCAATGAAGTTGAAGTTTAGTACAGCTACACCCAGTACTAGCCTTCCAGTAAAAAAAAAGTTTACTTCAGCCTTCTCTTTTATATTTTCAGTGAAGGAAATAAAACCTCTCCCTGTTTCACCCTTGAGAGAGATTCAGAAAGATTTGTTTTCCCCTTCCAATCAAGCATGCAATTTCTTCTTTTAACCAGTCACCTAAACATCCCAAAATTCTATTAATGTCATTTCCAAAGTCCATATAAATTCAGGTCAGCCATTTTTCCTCTCAGGAGGACACAGTGAGGGTAGCAGACAGATCCTTTACTGTTTTTTCCTTGTAAAGCAAAAAAGGTGAAAACAAATTTTTTACAAGGAGTGAGAGGAGGTATAAAAAAAGGAATCAAACAAAGGCTACACACAACTAATAGACAAGAAATAGGAGAAGGTGGTGCAGTACTGCATGGGTAGCTCCTAAGGCATGTAGAAGCAAGCCAAGAGCACTGTGTGCAAAGCCTTAGAAATACAGAAAGCACACACCTACACCGCAGCATGACACTCGAGATTTAACACTCACTCATTCATGGGAGAGGAGAATACAAGACCCATACACAGCATTTTTTAACAAGCTGATTCTGATCAGCACTTTCATTAGGTTTGCATGTGTCCTGGTGGTAGAAGTTTGACCCATAATAAACCTTTGAAGCTACTTAGCAAAATGTTTCCATAGTATCTCATAACAGACTGTAAAAAATAAGTCTGCCCTATTTAAGCCATGAATGATTAGTTTTTTTCTTCTCGATATTGTAAGAAAATTTTGAGCTGTAAGGTGATGGGTTTTCTGTTTGCTTTCTAGTAGGAGTGGGGTAGTGCAGAAGACTGGGTTTTGGAGTTCCTCTTCTTTCTCTCTCAGGTGTATACTTGAGAAACATCGTCACAATCTACTCTCTTCTTGTAGAATATATAACACGCCTAACGTGCTACGATCGTTACATTCATTAACAAATAACTAGGTGGCTTTTTACACATTCCTTTTGGATAAAAGTTTACATTTAACATTGCACTCCACATCTCTAGACCTGTTCCTGTCAGTATGCTGAAAACCCAAGATTCAAGCTTCAGCAGATGAACTACTTGGATTTTTACAAAAGCCAAATAAAAGGCAAGCTACTCCATTTAATGCTAAAAGCTTATTATTTTAGACAATTTTTATAGAAATGTTAATTCTTAGGTTGCATAAATTAAAAACTACTTTCAATCAGTCTCTCAGTCATTAATGGACAATTACATTAATAAAATACATTTCTGAAGTAGACCTAGACCTTAATACCTGTTCTGTTCCCCGCCTGCTGTAAAATCTTATATTCATAATCCTTAATAATCCTCTTCTCTGTGCCTGCAAAAACAGGAACATATTATACAATGAAAGACAATCTCATACATTGTTTTATGCACCAAACACTAAGTCATCTCTAAAGTACTAAAACAACCCCACAGGATTCTTTAAACTTCCCTAAGACTGCCTATTTTAAAAGAATGCAAGGATAATAAAACGCAATTTGCGTAGCTTTGCCCGTTTCGTTAGGTATATATCATGCCACAGAAAAGCACTACCAATTTGCAATGAAATTAGCAGCTCGTTTTTAATACTAAGCAATACCTATATAAGAGTAAATACTGAAATTTATCCTAGTATACTGTAAATTGATTTCAGGATATCCACATTTTTACCACATCAAACATTCATTTCTACTAGAAGCAAAAGAAATCAAGAGTCAGACTTAAACTGAAACATTTATTTCAGGTGTACTGCCTTTTGTTATGAAGTAATAAAAAGACAAAAATAACTGGAATTTTTCCAAAGACAGGTAACATATCCCAGTACACAACTAAGGAGTTTGCATATTTCCACACTATGTTGTTGTTTCTCGTTGTTTTGGGTTTTGTGCTTGGTTTTTGTTTGTTTGGATTTTGTTGTTTTGTTTTTTTTTTTTAAAAACCACAAGCCATAATCAAGAACTTAAGAGTTCAAATCATATTTCAGAAAAAGCAAAAATAGACAGATGCTGGGGGGGGAGGGAGAGGGAAGAGATAGCTTATTAGAAGTCCACATTGTAGCTTACAAAATAGCAAAATGTTGCATTAAATTCTTCTTTTGGAAATTGATTCATATTGAACTTCCAGTTTGATAATTCTGCCAGTGACAATATTCATCCAATAAAATGAGGAAACATACTTACTGTTCTAATGTCATCTTCATAACTAGTGACCTGTTTATAATGGGGAGAGCCTGACAGAACTCTCCAAGCAGATATCCCACAACCAGTTGCTTTAGATACTCCATCTTCATCTGTTTCACAGCCTCCTACAAGCAGAAGTCTGTAAAATATATAAAGGCATATTATGGTTTCATATACTGCCACATAAATGTTTTTTAATTGTCTTAAGTCAGAACTATAGCAGTTTGCTTCCAGTAACAAAAAGATTAAGTATATTAAGATACCTAACAGCCCCAATAAGCTTTAAACTTCAGAGTGTTTATTCACAGACAAAAAGACTTAAATATTACTTGAGTAACATTTGTTATTTGTGGCATTTATCCCTATCCATTCTCATCTCTAGCTTTCCAAATAAGGCATAATTCCCAACATTTAAAAGAAAACATGTCTGGCTTCAATTTGAGTTTCTCCCATACCCTCAAAGAATGACAACAATGTCATAAGCTTAAGCTTCTGAAAAGTTCTGGTTATTCTGTTTACGTATCACATTTCCATTTGTTCACATGTGGTACGAAAGCTAGTTCACTTTTACTGAGGAACCGAACGCGTCAAGGTTTTTCAATTTTGTTTTTAAAGCCATTTCACCAATCATAAATGTGCATGCAGTAATTTTGCTATACACAGTAGATGGTATTTTAAAAACTTTGAGGGAATTCTTACAATTATTGCTGATTACCACTAAAATGCATCAAAATGTTTTCCTTGAAGCCCTTTCACCTTATTAATAACCAGTTTTATATTTAATTGAGGATTACTTTGACAAAAACTTTGAGAACAGATCATAGATTCATAGAATCGTCTAGGTTGGAAAAGACCTTTAAGATCATCCAGTCCAACCATTAACCTACACTACCAAGCCCACCTAAACCAATCAAGGGTAGACTACACTAAACCATATCCCGAAGTGCCACATCTACCCGTTTTTTGAACGCCTCCAGGGATGGGGACTCCACCACCTCTCTGGGCAGCCTGTTCCAATGCTTGACCACCCTTTCCGTGAAGAAATTTTTCCTAATTTCCAGTCTAAACCTCCCCTGGCGCAGCTTGAGCCCATTTCCTCTCATCCTATCGCTACCTACTTGGGAGAAGAGACCAACACCCACCTCACTACTACCTCCTTTCAGGTAGTCGTAGAGAGCGATCAGGTGTCCCCTCAGCCTCCTCTTCTCCAGGCTAAACAACCC